AAAGGGAGTGGGCAACCACAAGGAAGAAAAAAAAAAGGAAAAGGAAGAATAATAAGATCAAGAAAGAGAGTGGGAGAGGGAGGCCGGGCGCCGGAGATGGTTGGTTGCCACCGCCACCGAGTTGGGTTCAAACGAAGGGGAGATGAATAGTCTGAATGAAGAAGATAGGATATTATTTATAATAGGGTTAAGGGGTAGTTTTGTGAATTTAGGAAATCCAGGGGTGTTTTGGTACTTTTCAAAAAGTTGGGTTAAATCGGGTCTAAAGGGTTCAGGTCAAGTTTTCAGTTCAGGGGGGGGTCAAAATGGAATATTTCCAGATGGAAGGGTAAATGAGGGCATTTTTGGCTAAAATTCGGCAATGTAGGGTTTTTAGACATTTTGGGTTGATTGGTGGGGTCAGGTTGGCCCAACTAGGCCCAAATTGGTCAGATTTGGAAAGGGTTTGACTCAGTCAATCTCAAACCTCGGAACGAAATCTGTATGTGATCGAAGGGCAAACAAAGGTGTTTGGGGCTGAAATTTTATGAGTATTTGAAGGTTTTTCGAATCTAATGGTGATGTCTGATTAGTTTTGGGGGGTCAAGTTCGTAGGAATTTGGGTCAATGGGATGTTTTGGAAAGGAATCATAGTTTGATGGAAGAGCAAATGGGGAATCTAGGGTTGAAACTTTACCGGCAGGTGTTTTGATGTCTGGAGTTTAAGGATGTGGTTCGATCAGTTCGAATGTGTCAAGGTCAAGGGAATCTGGATTCCGAGTGTTTAGGTTAACGAGAGAGGTCAAAATCAAATCTTTGTTTGGTGAGTGGGTAAATGGGGGAATCTTGGGCTAAAATTTCATGGGTGAGAGTTTTTAGAGGTCCTGGGGCTGGTGGTTGTGTCTGATCTAATGGTTGAGGTGTAAGTGAGGTTGATCGGGGCCATTAGGTGGGCATCAAGCAGGTTTAACAGTGAATCTAAGGGTTTTGGGGCTAAAAGTTGGGTTTTCTGGGTTTTTGGGTGTTTTGGAGAAGTCGAATGGGTCTAATCAGGTGTTCAGGGTGAATTGGAGGTTCAAGTGACAAACCGAGCAAAAATCGGGTGCTGACACTAATGGGAGGTGGTGAATCTGTATAGACTTTACAGACATCAAGCGATTTTGTAGTCACCGCAAGGGGTGTCAAAGGTATTCGGAAATCCAATTTCGAAATAGATATCCAACATAATCGAATCGAATTCGAATAATTCAGATATCTTATTGGTTGAATTCAGATATCCTATTCTTATCATATAGTTAATCGAATTCGAATTCAGATATAACCTGATTCGATTCGATAAACATCCAAATTCGACCGATTATTTAATTCTTATATATAATATATAAAATATTTTATATAATAATTAAGTTATATAAATAATTTATATATTTAAATACTTTATATCAATAAAATATTTATTGTATATATTTATTAATTATCTAAAATAATTAATTAATCGAATTCAAATCAAATATTCGAATATTTAATCGGTTTCGAATTCGGATATTAATTTTCAATATCTGTCGGATATCAAATCGAATTTGAATATCGGGTTTTCTAATCGGATTCGAATTCGGATATTGCCTGATCTTATTCGAATTCGATCCATTTACACCCCTAGCCACCATAGGGTATGAGATGCTCAGCTTTATGGATGCCTTCTTCGAGTACAACCATATCAAAATGCACCCCAAGGACGAGGAGGATACCTCATTCATCACCGAGCATGGCACATACTGTTACATGGTCATGCCCTTCAACCTCAAAAACATCGAGGCCACCTACCAATGCCTAGTGAACAAAGTCTTCAAGCATCAAATGGGGAGAAATGTCGAAGCCTATGTAGACGACATGGTGGTGAAAAGCCTGAAAGCCGAATAACATACATCGGACCTAGCTGAAACCTTTGACGCCTTGCGGAAGTATAACATGAAGCTTAATCCCAGGAAGTGTGTCTTCGGCGTCACCTTGGGCAAGTTTCTAGGCTTTGTCATTACGCAGTAGGGTATAGAGACCAACCCAGAAAAGATTCGAGCTATCCTTGACATGGCACCACCTTGGTCAATGAAGGGGACTCAGAGACTTATCGACCGAGTAGCTGCCCTTAGCCGTCTCATGTCGAAGTTGACCAATCACTACCTACCCTTTTTCTAGGCCATCAAGAAATTGAAAGACGTTCAGTGGACAAAAGAATGTCAATGTGCTTTCGTAGAGCTGAAGTCCTACCTCTCCTTCCCTCCCTACTCACTCGGCCACTTCTAGGAGACGTGTGGTAACCTGTTGGCATGCTGTCGTAGGCACCCAAAAATAAAATCTATACTCTCAAAAACAAATGCAGTAGTGCGAGTAAGGATCGTTCCCACAGAGTATCTAGCCTAGTTTTTATGTTGTGTGAACAAAGATGGAGGGGGGTTTGAGTATATAACGAAAACTAGAATTAAAAGGAAACAAAACAAAATGAGAAGCAATGCAAATCAAAGTACTGAAATTAATCAAAAGAACGAGTCTTGATCTAAGTCAACATCCACCACCAAAATTTCAGTACTGCTCATCGATGCAAAGATATATCAATTCAGACATTGAATATTCATCGTAGGAATTATTTTCCTGTATCTCCCTAATCACAGTTAATCGGAAAACAAGCGATCCTCCTAACCCTTACTACTGAACAATCCCTAAACAAGCATTAAAGATTTAATCTAGCAGTAGCCTTAAAAATTAGAGATCGATGAAGCTAAACCACACAAGCACAAGCGGTTGCATTTAATTCAGTCGAGTGTTCCTCCTAAGATCTAACAATTTTTGACGTAGCAAATCATTAAACCCTAATTGCTTTGCAGATTAGAGGGATCAAACAATTATGGATCTGATATCTAACCTAGCAGTAGATTGCAACGAATAATAAACTACTAGGCCTCCTACCAATCAAACGAAACAATCATAAACATGAACATAAAAAAACATTTGATATTCAAAGCATAAATCAAATAATGAAAATCAAATTAGATCTCACAGTTTTGTTGATTCTAAGGCTTCTGTTTCCTTAGACCAAGTATCAGAATTTAGCCACGCATGGTCATGGTAAAAACTCTAGAAAAATCAGAGAAGAGAAGAGATGTGCGGTAGCCTAGGTCTGATATTCTCTTTCTTGTTTTTCCTCTCATTTCCTTTCTCTCTACTTCCCCCAAGAGAAGCCTACAAAGTCTCCTAGAATTTCTCTAGATAACAGTCTCCAAGTCTGACTTGTCAAGAAAAAAATTCAAAAATGAGATAAAACAAAGTTCTAATGTAACTGGGAGAGTGGTGATTTCGCATATGAAAACTTGCATGCTAAGGAACGTTTTCAGCACGTCAATAATGCGGTTACAGCTACTTAGGGACCGATTTCGACCTCGATGCAGTCAGTATCTATCAAAACTCAAAACGTGAACTCAATCGGAGTTCGGATGAGATAATTATGCCCAAATTACGACGCAGTGCAGAAACTGTCCAGAATTACCCGATTAGCTTTGTTTTTCACTTGACGCCTCCATTTGTGCCCTAAATCAAAATATAAGAATAATGAGTTCATTTAGGCACTAAATAAGTATAAAAAACTAAACATTAATGGCCTCTCAGCTGGGGACGAGGCCATTAGTTCGATATTGATAAGAGAAGATGGACTACAGAGGCCTATCTACTATGTCAACAAGGTCCTCTTTGATGCCAAGACCCGCTACCCCAAAGTGGAGAAATTGGATTTTGCCTTAGTGGTCTAGGCCAGGAAGCTCAGACCATATTTCCAAGCCCATAGCATCACGGTCCTTACCATCCAGTCCCTTAGGGCCATCCTCGCCAAGCCAAAGACTTCGGGGTGGTTGACCAAGTGGGCCATCAAATTGTCTGAGCTCAACTTGCAATTCCAGTCGAGGCCTGCAATCAAAGCATAAGTCGTAGCTGACTTTGTAGTTGAATGCACCTTCAGCCCATCCCTCAGCTAGGCTCCAGAAGAGACAAAGGGACCTCAACCGACCGAAGAACTTCGACCGACCTGGAAGCTTTTTGTTGACGGATCCTCCAACTCAAAGGGAAGCGGAGAAGGTCTCATACTCCTCGCCCCAGACAACTTTATCGAAGTAGAGTATGCATTGAGGTTTGACTTCTCGGCCTCCAATAATGAAGTCGAGTACAAGGCCCTGCTCGCCAAAGACCTCGGCTCCCAACACATTGAAGTCTTCAACAACTCTCAATTAGTGGTGAACCAAGTTAGCGGCGATACGAGGCCAGAGAGCAAAGCATGGCCCAATACCTGGCCAAGGTCCAAGAGCTCGCTAGCCACTTCCAACACTTAACTTTGCAGCAAGTACCACGGTCCGAGAACATGATGGCCAATGCCCTATCCAAGTTAGAAAGCACCTCAGGTGCAGTCCTCAGCCGCATGGTCTGAGTTGAGAAGTTAGAATGCCCCAACATCGATGAAGTCCAATTTGCACCTCAGGTGCAAATTCGTGGTTGCAGGTGCCTAGCAGATTCAGTTGTAATCTACATAGATCCTCGATTTCTAATCATAGGCCTAACCGCCGGTGATGGATTTGTGTGTGGGCTTCTAATGGAGTCCAACCAGATAGAGAGGGTGTTTTTGGAACGGAGGTGGGAATGTGTTTTTAGAATTTTTTATCAATATATCAGTCACACGATATTAGTAACAGAAAGTTAACGATAAGAGTAGACTTGGTCAATTCCAATTCCAATTATCATTAATTTAATGATAATCAATTCCAATTTTCCCTTCCTAGAAAATCGGATCGTTAACAAATCGTGATTCACTAAAGGCTCAACTCTGTACCGTTAGATTATAGTCACAGATCAATATTTTAACCCAAATTCCAGTCGGACGTGCAAAACGCAGCTACGCAGGTTCCGTCTTTGAATCAAATTCCACAGAGAGAATCCACTTTCCTTTGGTTTTTAAATGGGTGCTTATTACCCGCCTCGTCCATCATGTCATGCATCCATGCCCGCCATCAACACACATTTCATTCCTCCTTTTCCCTCTCCTTTCTGAATCTCTTGATCGACGGTTTATATTCGTTTTCACGAAAGTAGGAGAGCATCTGGCCCGTCGGATCTCGAGGGTTAGACTCAATGCTCCCTTTTTAACTTTTACTCTTTGCTCACTCTCACTATTCAGTCTGCTCGTTTTTTCTCAATCTCAAGTCGGAGATCATTGTCTCTGGCGATCGGAAAACCGCTTTAAAGTGGTTTTTCTTCAAGCGGAAACCGCTCAGGAAGCTGATCTGGAGGATAGACTGTTGGGATTATCAGATCTGAAGCGGTTTTTGGCGCTTGAAAGGTGCTCTCATAGTCATACTCCATTCATTTTATGCTCTTCAACTACTTTTCGAGCTATTGTTGGTTATAACTGATTTCTGGTTATGTAAGCGTCAATGAGTGAAAAATGGTGGATTTCGTGAAGTCTTTTTTATAATAGAAGCTCTGTTTTCGATCGGCTTTGTATGAAAACAGAGATTTTGACGTCAAAGTGCGACTTATGGTGTGGGTTCAGTTCTCTTCTCTTAGTTTTTATAGTAATTGGAGATTTTAGAAATCAGAAAGTTGGATTGTCGCAGTTTTACTTGCTGAAATTAGTTATTTTTAATAGTTTTTCCTCTCAAAAGTGAGATCTGGATGAATTTCTCATCACTTAAGAATTTTATTCTTCTTTTTCAGTTCTTGCGTTATTTTCCTTGTAATTGTTTGCCGAGACAAATGATCTTTCACCTCGCAGAATGACATTTTTTTTTCTGAACTCCTGTTTGCTGTTAAAATACGTTTTTTTTTTCTTTTGTGGTTAAAAAGGAATTATTGTTTTGCTCTAAATAGAAATTCAAACCCGGGTCTTTCTCGGAAGGATCTGTCTTCCGTGGATTCTGATATTTTTACGGAGAACAATATCTTTTAGATTCTTTTAATAAAAAATATCTTGGTTTCTTTTATTTTTCTGGCGTGGGAATTTCGGACTTTTTTTTTATTCATTCTGCGAATCTCTTTCCTCCGAAAGAATATTGTTCTTTCTATCCTTTCCAAACGAATCGAATATTTTTTGTCATAGTCTGCGGAATACAGAGACCTTGTATGCTTAGTGCACATCAAGCGTATACTCATTTAGTGTAGTTCTGGTGCTGCTATACTGCGCTCGTTGCCTACAGGCAATGGTTTCCCCATATCACTCTGTCTCTGTTGAACTACATCTGACAAAAGAAATTTGACTTCTATTTGAACTCTGTATGTGTTGATATTCTGTATAAAGTATGCGGAATTATTACAAATACTATTTGTTTTAGGAAACTGAATTGGATTTTTTTTGACCAGCAAACTGAATTGGAATTTTAAGTAGAGACGCTGGGGTTTTTTCTGTGTTTCATTGGCAGTCCAGAGTTACTGTTATTCTCTATACCACGCTTATTTCTTTTTTCCTTCTTTTCTTCTTTCTATATCTATATATTTGCAGGTTCGGTTGGTGTCTTGGTGTACCATTCTATTTATTGTTAAAATTATTTTTGGCTATTGAATTGGAGAAATTTGTAGTCGGGTACATCTGCAATGGCTGATGGCGATAAAGTCGAGAAGTGTATCTTTCTATTCAAGCCTTTTGATTCTATACATTTCAGTTTTCTAGTCAGGCTTTTTGGTTGAACTTTGTTGAGTATATTCCTCGTATAAAATAGATGCAGATAGCCAGATATTGATCTTGTATTCTCTTTAGTTGGTTTTTGTAATTTGTCAAAAATAATATATCGTAAGAAATGTGTAGATTTATTGGTTTCTTTTGCTTTTAGTAGGGATTTCCACTAAAACATGTGAACATCTGAGCTTGTTTAAATTGTAAATTTATGTGAGAGCCAAGAAAGCAATAAGATTGAAACGTTTCATCTAATTCTAAACTTGGTGACTGCCTCGTTGCCTACTGCCTAGTAGCTTCTAAACAAAATTCATTATAAATTGTATATGATATGTAACGTGTTATAAATTGTACACATGTACAAGATAAATAATCATATATAAGTGCTTATAACTTATTATATGGTTATTACATTATATCATTGATATTATATTTACTTAGGAAGTCAATTGCCTATACTATAAAGAATGCCTTGGCATCACCTGCATTTGACAACACTGAGATGCTCATTGACTTACCAAGGAAGTCTACCTTATCCCTTGTGAAATACCCTGGTGCCTGCAGAACTCAAGTTTGGCAACAGAGAGATGCTCATGGAATGGGCCCAACTTACTTTAGAATCACATTATTGTGGTGATCCTGGTGACAGTAAGCTACCAATTTGGGCTGTTATTTGTAGAGGAACAGTTTTTGAACGTGTAATGCTCTTTATCTTTCAGGATATCTGACATCCATAGGATTTCTTTTATGTAATAAATCTAAGTATACATATGTTTCTCTTAACCATATTTATCCAGCTAATGACAAGGTGGATACAGCAATGAAACCAATTCCGCATGCCAATTTGGGCAAGAAAGATCAGGTAATCCAACTGTATAGTTTGGAAATACTAATAACAGCTCTGCAATTACCTTGTTTAGCTCCAATATATTATTTGCAATAACATTCCAAACCATTATCTAAATTACATGACTTTGGAAGAAAGTTAATGACCATTATTTGTGTGTGGTGATGGTGACTTTTTGTGTGTGGTGATGGTGACTTTATGCTTGAAGTCCAATGTTATTTTACTCACTGAATTGTTATAGTTCTGTTCCTTGTGTTTACTTAAAGGTATTTCGACCTTTCCTCTCAGGCTCCTAGAAAAGATGGAAGCCTATCTAATTCAACTTCTTCCATTACCTCATCTGGGGATGCTACTTCTAGCATCAAAGGTGAGGCTGATCAAAAGCCTGTTGCAGATCAAGGTTATTACCCACCCACCAGCTGTTATGGTTACTACTATCCGGGTTGGTGTTTTTGTTCATCCATTTTGTGTACATGCATGCGTGTACTTCTCTGGATGTGCTTCTATTAAAATTATCTCTATGTTTAGAGATTAATGAGTTAAAAGTATTTGGTTGTCTGCTTAATGGTTTTAGGATATGATGGTGCCTACTCTGAGTGGGATGACCGTGGTTATTTTAATGCAGGAGATGGTTCAGGAATGACATACCCAGTAAGTTCTTTAGACATTAATTATTTGAAGGTGAAAGTTCCTTGGTCTCTTTTTGGCTACCTAATAATGAATTAATCCTCTTCTAGTTTTGTTTTCATGTAAGGGAATAATTCAATCCCATTTCATCTCTATAAACTGTTGATCCACAAAATGTGGCTTAACTGTGTGAAGCTTCTCATTCTTTCATTTATATCAGGGTGTGCAATCAGATAGCAACTCGCTTGTTTACTATGTGCCTGGCTATAATCCATATGCTTCAGGAAGTTTGATGGGTGTTGAAGGTCAATGTCTTGGTCAACAACCATACTTTTCTTCAGGATACCTCCAACCACCAATATCATATGGGTCAGAAGCTGTGTCACCTTACTCATGGGATTCAATGTCAGTTGGGGATGCTCCAAATGGAACTGGTGCTGTACTTGCAGGTCCAAAGCCCACTAGTACCGGTTCAACTCCTACTGCTGCAGTGAAACCGAAAGCCTTGAACTCAATAAAGACAACTGGTGCTGTTGATGCAAAAGTTTCTGCATTTCCATTGGATTCAAAATCATGCCTACCTACAACCTCATCTAACTTTTCTAAATCTGTTCCTCCAAGCCAACCTCTTAAGCCATTGAATAAGGTACTAATATATTCATAACAATTTTTACAATGAAACATCGTAATTTCAGAAGGCCTGTCAGGAAGAGATCAAAATTCCTCTGAATTAAGAACAAAAAGTATTCAAGATTATTTAAGTTTTCATGTCAACGGACATCTATAGGATTCTGCAAGCTTAGCAACTTTTAGGTTTTGTCACGAGGACATGATTGTTCAATAATTTCATGGCTAAGTTCATGTCAACTGAACAAAGAGAAATTGTGGCTACAAATTTGGGAAATATATTGCTTTTATTTTATTTTATTCCTGTTCTTGTGCTTTTTTGATAAGGAAATAGAGTCTGTTTCTCATAGCTTAACTTTTACATGTCATTGTTGAGGTGCAGTAAATCAATGAATGTAGTTAATGGTAAATGAATATTACAGTAGTCCTATCACTGGATTCAAAGTCCGGAGTGTAAGTGCCAAGAACCAACCACTCTTTAGGACATTGGATTTTTTCCCCTTGTGCAGCACATCACTGATCTTTCTCTCGAAGGATTCTATTACTGTAGTCAGCGGACAATCACAATAGGCAGGATGAAAGATTTGGTGCATGTCCTGTTCTTCTGGGGGCTTCGTGTGTCTAGGGGAGTCATTTTATATGGACTTTGGTCAAGTCGGTGCACAACTGTTGAAAGAGAAAATGGGGTACTCCTTGTTCTACTACTATGTTGATGGTATGGGACTATTGTTTTAAACATGAGTCCTACAATACCATCTGAAGCTTATCTCTGAAATCAGGAAAAGGAATTTGGAAATTCCTTTATCTTATTGCTGGGGGTAGCCTTGTAGTGCTTTGATTTGAAATGCTATATTCGGTGACCACTTAAATTCAAGTTCTTTTCTTTCTCTGTGCAATGGAGCATTCTTTCTATTATTTTTTGCTACTCCACTTCAGATATAGTGATGTCATTAACCCTATTATTTCTACTGAATTATGTTTTCTATAATGTTTGTTTGAATTAAAAAATCAATTTTAAGGGCCATAGTGATCAACAAATTCTATGAGGTCACTCGACAATGTCTCTAAAGTGACTGAACTGAATAATTTATTGCTTTGCCTTTTAGATATAAGTAATTTAGTTGTTTGTGAACCCCTTAAGCGTTGAATGATATGTTTGGGTTATTACTATGCTTCTAAATATTCAATTATTTACAATTTTATCCACTAAAAGACAAAGAAATAAGTTATTTGTTTCAGCCATCCACTCTTACCAAAAAGCCCCTAAAATATATGCATTTATGCATAATTTGAGGCATTATAATTTTTTTAACGTTATTTGAATGAAATGACAATATTGATTTTTTATTGTTTATATTTTTTCCTTGCTAAATATTATTTGATATTGTCCAAGGACTTGTGCTTCTTTTAATTGTTTTGGCATGTTAGTAACACAAACATGCTAATTGTCAGGTGCCACAGTTGGGGTCTAATTTTCAGTCAGCAGGGTCTGTGAAAGTATGTTACCCCATGAGAAAGTTCTTTCCTTTTTCTAACCAGGGACAAGGATTCTCTCCACGTAATGGTCCCATGAACTGCAGATCGAATGGCCGGACCTGGGTTGGCAATGATAGGATGAAAGATAAGTTTAATAGGAATGGAGAATTTGAAGCCTCTGCTGAGCTAAATCGTGGACCTAGGACTCACAGAGTTGGTACTCCTATCCAAACGTCAGAGAAAGATCAGTTGGGGCTCACTGTCAGCGGAGACCAATATAACCTACAAGATTTTCAGACTGTATATGAAAATGCCAAATTCTTTGTTATCAAGTCATTTAACGAAGATGACATTCATAAGAGCATCAAGTATGGTGTGTGGGCAAGTACTCCAAATGGTAATAAGAAGCTGGACACAGCATTCCATGAGGCCGAGACATGGTTAAGTGAGACAGGCAACAAGTGTCCAGTCTTCCTGTTCTTTTCTGTGAGTTTAAAATATACCCTTTGCCAAGACTACCTTTCCTTTTATTTTTGGTTAAGTCTTTTCCTGGACCAATTCATATATTAAAAATTGATATGTATGATAATTCTACACCAGTAGTGCTACAAGGATCTTTGAGCCCACTGAGACTTTTTATTTTTTACGATGTGCCATATAGAGTTGAATACTTGTTTCTTGGCAGTGATGTTGTTAAAATGTTTCTATCTTTCCTTTAGTCAATCCATTGATTACAATGTGCCAAATAAATCCCAGCCTATAGGAAAGAGATATGCAAGATTTAAGGTATGCTTCTTTTTCTAGGAATCTGTAGTTATTGGGAAAAAGTATAGTAGAGTCATATTTTGGTTTTGTATTTGGGCAATGTGGAGTGTGGACCAAAGATTAGAAAAAGTTTTCAATTTCATGCATCTTTTTATGTTTCCAAAATGTATTAATTGAATAGAAGGGTTATCCCAATATACCAAGTGTTTTAAATTATGAAAAACTTCTTATGAATTCTATTTGTTTAATGCAACAGTATTCTGTTTCTTTGTAGAGTTTTCAAGAAGCTGGATCTACCCTCCTTGTCCTGCTCAGTTATCCTACCCATCAGCTTTTCAAATAAGATACTTCTCTATCTGGAGCAGTAATTACTTTAGAATGAACACTATTGCTTTAATTCGAAAGCCCAATTGACCAGTAAATATTTGCAGAGCAATCATATGCTCTTCTCAAATATGGAAAGTACTGCTGGTGTAATTTTGACATGCATCTTCAGTATTCTGAAACTCATTAATTTGTTTAGCAGTCTACCTTTTCCTTTTGTAATTTCAGGTAAATGCAAGTGGGCAGTTTGTAGGTCTAGCTGAAATGATTGGACAAGTAGATTTCAATAAGGATATGGATTTCTGGCATTTGGACAAATGGAGTGGATTTTTCCCTGTAAAATGGCACATAATAAAGGATGTTCCCAATGCACAGTTGCGGCATATCATACTTGAAAATAATGATAACAAGCCTGTAACTAATAGCAGGGATACTCAAGAGGTACTTAACCTTTTCCTTTAATTTACATATTGTCAACTTATAAAACCACAAATGGTGTTTTGATTTTGAATATGATACATTATTTTGGATTGATTGGTGTGGATTAACTGAATGGAACAGGGTTTCATAATGAAATCATTGGAATAGGAACATAATGGATGTAATTCAAAAATAGTAGTATGTAAGCAATTTTCTAGGTTATTTAGGTCCATTGATTTGAATTATTATGTTCTCAAAATAAAGAAAAATGTAGAGCATTCAAGGAACAAATTTGGGATTAAAAGAAATAAATTTCTTGAGCCAGAGGGGTTTAGGGTAGGGTGAATATGATTTAGGGTTTGAATAGGCTTGAGGAAATTGGTTACTTTTTATGCATTTATTATAGAACTCTGTTCAAATTCAACATCTATAACAAGATCAACAAGCTGTTTGGCAAGTCTTTCTAGGTAGACCTTTCAACAGCCAAGTAGACAAGAAGATGCACTGAGCTTTTGTGGTCTTGTCTTTAAAGATCAAGATTGTTTTGTTCACACCATGGTCTACCAGGATTTTAAAAACACTTGGGAAGGCTATTTTTAGTATGGAAAGACCAAAAGCTTTATTTGAAGCTTCCTGATTTTTTTGGCTTTTTTGGTCTTTCTATGTGTCTGTCTTCGTGTCTTTCCTCTCTTTCGTTCTACATGATACCAATTGGAAAAAGAACATTTTTTGGTCTTTTGGGCTTCCCATAGACTGAAAAGCGCTCCGAAAAGATGCACCAAACACACCTATTTAATGTCTAGAATCTAGAGTTGAATTTTTATATCAATAAGTAGAGTTACAATACAGGAACTGGAAGTATGAATGAAGAACTATAGAGATCGTCGTATTCTATAATCTATGAATCTGTCCATGGGTGAACTCCAGTGATGCATTTGGTATACTCTTGTAATGCATCCTTTATCGGGTGGATGAAGGATGGTTGCAGAAACAATGATTATTATTTCAAGTGGATGAATGACTATTCTAAGTTATAGGAGAAATAGAGATGGAAGACCTTCAAAGGAGTTGGATCTAAGATGGAGATTGAGAGATAGTTTGTTGCAAGGGGGAGTGTGGCTAATGGAGGAAAAGTGCTTATTTAGGCATCGGAGGAGTATGACTTTCATGGAAACAAACCTTTATGGAATGGTGGCAAAGGGTGATTTGCTCCAAAATTGTCTTTTTTAAATAATAATAATGGTTTTACCAATAATAAGGAAAGCATTGTACAAAATTCTATGCAAATGTTGTAGCTAAAGTGTTGACCTCACACTAGGGGGTGCAACCTGGGTTAGATTCGGTTGGGAATTTGTTAAATTCTAAATGGGTCCAAACCTTAAATTCTGCATACAATATATATTTTTTTACTTTAAGTTTAATTTTTTATACTAAGAATTAAGATCTTGAGGCTGAAAAGGCATTTTTGACAAGGTGCAACTCATAGGATAAGAAATATTACCCAAAATTAAGAAAAGATACCCCAATCAAATCACCAAGGTGCAACTCTAGTATATCCATATAAATTGTAATTTGCAACCCATGACCCACTGACGAAGTCAACCCAGTCAACAGTTCCACTGCTAGGTTCACAGTTTTTTTATTAAGTCAATGGGTTTTTTTACATATTCTAGGTTTGAGGTAAACCTGGACTGGGATTGATGTTGGGTGATGGTTTGAATGATTTCATTGCTTGGGTCAACAGCAATGTTTTTTTTTAAATTTTTTTTAAGTGTAATTGTGTAAAGTAACTTTATTAGAAAATGATCAAGAGATTACAACAGCAGCCTCAAAAGAGGAGCCGGACATACAAGATCAAAGCTCTAGATCACATTACAATTCTAACAGACTTCTGGTATTCTGCTTAGCCCCAAGGACCGAGGACTGGAGACCTTTTGCAGCTGCAATCCAAGGGACCAGCTTGCCAAAAGTATAAGAAATTACAGTCTGAATCTTTAATGCTATTCTGGAAAATCCTTATATTTCTTTCTGTCCAGATGGTACTAATCACTGTTGCAGGAATAGCCAGCAAAACACTTTTTGCCACTTGGACAAACCTTGGAGCTCCCAACTCCCTAACAGGTCCAACACAGAATTCGGCATGACCCAAGATAAGCCCAGGGAAGATAAAAAATGCCCCTAAATAGTAGAGGAGACAGTGCAATGAATGAACATGTGATTGCTATCCTCTTCTACTTGGCCACACATCACACACAGCAGGTCCTGAATCTGTAAGCCTCTTCTTATCAGGCTCCTTTTGGTCAGGCACCTATCCAGTGCTGTTGCCCAGACCAAGGCATTCACTTTGGATGGGGATATTGGATTCCAAATTTTAGCAGCAGGAAGTTCAATTTGATTTCCTTCTGCTAAATCCTTGCAAAGGACTTGACAGAAAAATACCCATCTGCACTGCTTTTCCAGATTCAAGTGTCATCTTCTAATAGGATCTATGGACTTCCTAGACAGCAACTCCAACATCTCTTCCAGTTGATCAACTTCCCAATCTTGAAAGGGTCTTCTAAAGGAAGGGCTCCAAGAGATGATATTACCCCTCACATCATAACAATCAGCCATTAACCCATTCTGATTCTGTGCAATTTGATACAGCTGGGGGAATAATTCTGCTAAGGGTCTATTGCTGCACCAGTTGTCCTTCTAGAAACTCAGCCTAGTTACCCAACTTTGCTAGGAATAGGAAGAGGTTCCGTGATTTTTGATGTAGGCGCTTTAGGCAGGCCTTTGGCGCGTCGACACGTGGCCAAGGGTGGAGCCAATCAACACGTCTTGCAGGATGGAGGTCGGTGCCCAGCGTGGGACCAATGGCGCGACCCCATGCGGTGAGCTCGGATGACCACCTTGTCAGGGTTGGATCGCATCTTGACCGTCTGCATGTGTCTGCTTATAGGCGGCCTCAAGTATAAATAGGGCATGCCACCCCAAGGTAAGGGGTCTCTCTCTGGCCACTAGACTTTCATCTCTCTAAACTCTCTTGCTCTCTAGCTTTTCGACGACCTCGTCCGAGCTCTTCGGGCCTTGCCTGCCTTCTCTGCTATGCCCTCATTGACTTGACCGTCGGATTCCCTGCCTTGGGTTATCACCTAGGGCCTCTGGCGTTCCCTTCCTCGTAGGTACTCGGCCTCGGCCGACCTTAGGCAGATTTCACCAGCCCTCGACTGTAACTCCCTTCGGGTCCCCCTAGCCCTCGACCACAGTGCACTCTGAGCTTTAGTGGCCCTTGGCCTCGGCACCCCTTGGATCCATCCTCTAGCCATCTCATACAGGAAGCAGAGCAAATTTACTGTGTTGTCCTCCGTCAATCCAAGCATCAACAATTGGTGCTGTCTGTGGGAACGACTGATGAGCCTTCCCCCCAGCACAACAACTCAACTTCCAACGGAATGGCTAGAAACAAGAGAACTCCGTAGAACTTGGTCACCAGGGACCAACTCCAAATGGTCCTCGACTGGCTTAACCACCTCACGCAGAGGTTGGACGAGGTGGGGTGACTGGCCACCCCGCTAGAAACCTAGGGCATCGTCGCGGATGCCCTTCGTGGGCTCTGCCATTTAAGTGCCTGTCGGACCTTATCGAACCGACCCCTCAACGTCTGGCGGAAGCGGCCAAAGTGAGTCAGTCGTCGAGAACCCTCCAACCTCTTGGCTGATGGAAGAACGAATTATCATGGTCTTGCAACCGACGCCGAAGCCAAGGACATTGTCGTCGACAAGAAACGCCTCCTTCACCAGATGGATGCTTTCATTGCCGTCATCACCTCGGATCCTCTTCCACATCATTTCAAATCTCCCACACTAGAGATTTACGAGTTACAATGGCACCTCGGACCCAGACAGACACCTGGAGCTTTTGAGCACTCATGTTCTTGTACTGGTACTCCGAAGCATTGATGTGTTGAGCCTTCCAGGCGACCTTCAAGGGGGCAGCTCAGCATTGGTTTACCAGGCTCCCACTTTGCTCCATTAGCCTCTGGGACCAGTTCGCCAACCTCTTCCTCACCCCCACTTCATCAGCAGTCGATTATGCCAGAAGAGCGTCGTTTCACTCATAGCCATCCGATAGCGACATGGCGAGAGCTTGCGGTCCTACCCCGATCGCTTTAAGAAAAAAGAATTTGAGGCCCACGACATGTATCAATCCAAGGCCTCCTCGGGTCGGCTCTTAAGTGCTCTGTCGCCAAGACACTGCCCTAGAACCAAGGTGGAATTTTTGAAAAGGGTGCAAAAGTACATCGTTGCCAAGGAAGCCTCGGTCAATGAGCACCGAGGTGGATAGGCTGACCATGATCATGGCGACCATCGGTATGAAGACAGCTGCGACAACGACAATAGTAGGAAGCTGCTGGCCTCAACTAGTACACGCCACTCAACTCCACCTGAGCACACATCCTCATGTAAGGAGGGGAGGAGTATATGAAGTGGCCTGGGAAGAGAGAGAGGAACCCCAAGAGGGGTGACTCAACAAAATATTGCACGTTTCACTGTAGAGCCGACCATGACACCGAAGATTGCTACGACCTCCAGGACGAGGTTGAGTCCCTCATCCGTCGCGGATATCTAAAGCAGTCTGTTGACACCAATGTCATTACCTCGCCCCAGCAACAACGGTTGTAGTCAGCCACTCATCCTTGACACCTCGGCCATGGGCATGCCCATAGGTTGGACCATGTAACCTCAAAAGCTCGACCTCTGTTGGCCATTTAAACATTTTGTAATAAAGCAAGTCTCCCTCGTCGCCTCAAACCCTTGGCATATAAGTTTTCGTCTCGATCGAGAGACCCTTTGCAGCATACAACCTTTGCCAATGTTACACGCTCAAGACCTCGGTCCAAGGCACACGACCCTTTGAGGTCATACACCTAGTTGCCAGGTCCCCCACCTTGGCTGATTGGTTGGCTACGACATACAACTTTCAACAAGGTTATACGCCTGGACTGGATGTCAACCTTAAGGCATACGACCCTCTGACAACAACACGCCCTCGGACGACCGGTTGGCCATGGCATGCAACCTTTGCTAAGGTTAAACGCTTGGACCGGATGTCGGCCCCAAGGCATACGGTGTGTTGGAGGTCACACGCCTGCTCACCCCTTTTGACAAGGGATCTAATGAACCTCAGCTGCAGTCGATGGGGCAGCCTGTGATTTTGGCCTTGGCTTCGAGGAGACCCTCCAAGCGAGTGAGTTTCATCCTAGCTCCAGAGCTGGCATCGACCCTCCGCTTGGGACAATTTATGGCAGAATAGACATGCTGAAAGGAACAACACCACCCTATTGAGACCAAGGCGGTTTGTGGTGTCGGCTGAGCTCCACACAGCTTCAGCCGCGTACGGGTTCACGTGCCCTGTCCCCCATGGGATGGGTAGCCATGACAGTTATGGCGTGTGCCTCCCTTTCCTTCTTGCAAAGGAAGGAGGCCCTATGTTTTCAGCGGCGAAGCTAGGCCTCGGCCTTACCCACCTAGGTGCTTAAGCAGATGGGTTATTGAGTAATGGAATTTTTGCAACTTGCAACCTTTCGGAAGGGGGCATTGAACCCTACACAGAAGAAATGCAACTGCAAAAAGGCACAAGATACGTAAAAATCACATTCCATGCTAGATGACTCAGAATGGGTTTTAGACCTCGACTACTTCCTTGGCAACTTGGCTTGTCGTTCGCACCTCGGTGGCCCCTCTTCGCTCGTGACATCGCATCAGCTCAGAACATCCTCATCGCAAACGCCTATCGTACCTCGTCTCCTTTGCTTCGAAGCATCATCACCTTGGGAGACAACCCCACCTCGGCAACTCTCTGCCCGCCTCTCGATGGGTGCGCACTCCTCAACTTGAGGTAACGTCACCTTGGACGCCTGTCGCCCTTCTCGCACAGAAGCCGCAAGTTGATGACATGACAAGTAATCTGTAGCGGTCGAGGTATTCTCTTGGCCGAGGTACCCTCTTGGTTGAGGTGCCCTTTTGACCTGTCCGTTGAACGGGCCTTTACCATACGCCTACTCAAGCAACACGTCCCTGGCGTTCAGCAACATCCTTATGCAAGCACGAGATAACCGATGCTTACCAACGGGAAAGTGAGCCGATGTGTCGAGTCGACAACAGGAATCCTCCTACCTAGGCAAGCGAAGTCGAGGCCAACCCGTGTCAAAGCTTCCTTCGCCATCTAAGGCTCAGCTTGGCTCCCCACCAAGTTGACCTGCATGACTAGACCTTTGTACTAGATACAAGGAAACACCTCCACCGTCTTGTGTACTATCACGACTCGATGCCCACCTCGGGCATGGTCCAGACATTCAACGCCGAGAACCCGTCACATGCGGGGACAACACCCAGCGCTAGAATTCATCTCGTGTGTGGCCAGGACACACCCACTTGTCATCTACACCTTACACGAAGTCGAGGCTAGCGCCTCCGTGCTCTTTGGCCCTCCACAACCTCGTCAAGGAGCAGGATCAGCATAGCAGCTAACGAAAGCTCGTTGAAGCCAAGGGTGACGTTTACACGCCCATAGGTTGGACTACCTCCGAGGCCTTGGCTATTGTCTATGTCTCCACGCTCCCAAATTGAACTATCCTCAGCAACTCCAAAATCAGGACCAACACCTCCACGCCTGAAGACCACTCTCTCCAACCTACCTATAGCCGAGGTCCTTGCCATAGAAGGCCACTCAACGCCTCCCAGTAAGAATGACACCCTCTTCGGTTGAAGTCAAGGTCCTCAGCTAAGACCTCCACCACGGCCTTGAGAGTGGGGAGCAAATGATGTAGGTAGGCCTCTGGTGCGTCGACATGTGGCCAAGGGCGGAGGTCGGCGCCTAGCGCGGGACCAATGGCACAGCCCCACACGGCGAATTTAGATGATTGCCTTGTCAGGGCTGGATGACATCCTGAACGTCCGCATGTCTCCCCGCCTACAGGTGCCCTCAAGTATAAATAAGGCATGCCACCCCCAAGGTAAGGGGTCTTTCTGTCTGGCCACCAAAATTTCATCTCTCCAAACTCTCATTCTCTCTAGCTTTCCGTCAACCTCGTCTGAGCTCCTCGGACCTCGCCCACCCTCGCTGACTTGACTATTAGAGTCCCCGCCTTGGGTTATCACCTGAGGCCTTTGACGATCCCTTCCTCGCATGTACTCAGCCTTGGCCAATCTTAGCAGCCCTCGACTGTAACCCCCTTCGGGTCCCCCTAGCCTTCGGCCACAATGCACTTTGAGCTTCTTTGGCCCTCGGCCTCGTTACCCCTTGGATCCATTCACTAGCCATCTTGTATAGGAAGCGGAGCAAGTTTATTGTTTTGTCATCGGTCAATTCGAGCATCAACAAATTTTCTTCCAAAGAGAACACCCCAAAGAAGGCAAATGGAATGTAGTTACCCAATCCCCTCTGTCAGTATCATATTCAACAACAATTAACTTCCTTCACCAATTGTATTTTTCTTTTCAAACCTCCATATCCACTTTCCCAATAGAACCACATTAAATAACTTCAATTTCCCTACTCCCAAGCCCCTTCTTGGGAGCACAAACTTGGTCCCAATTGACTAGATAGATCTTTTTTTCCCCCTTCCACCCTCTCCAAAGGAAGTCTCTCTATAACTTTTCAATTCTTTGAGCTTCCTTTGCTGGAATTGGAAACAAGTAGAGGAAATAAGACTGTAAGATGGAAGGTTGGATAGATAGCTCTTTAGGAGAGTGATTCTACCTCACAGTCGCAGGGATAGAGAGCTCTTTAGGAAAGTAAGCTTCCTTTACACACACTCCACTACAAGATCCCGCACCAAGGCAAAACCTAGGTGACAGGGGAGCGCTTAGTTGCCTGGTCGCCTAGGTGCCTGCCTAGGCGTTGCTTAATGTCAAAAGAAAATATAGAACAAAAGGGGGATGAACCCCTATTTTTCCATTGCAATAGAAGGGTAGAGCCCCTATTCTTGTCTTAGAAGAAAGAAAACATGAAATAAAAACCTCACAAATCATGGACAAGAAGGGGTGGAGCCCCTGTTTTAGTTCAAAAAATGATGAAGATGAATCTTTTTTCCAGAAAAAGAAAACTAAGGGGCAGACCTCTGTTTTTTTGTTTCAGGAAGAGGAGTGTTTTTGCTTCAAAAAAAGAAAAAGAAAAAGTGTTCTAGACTTCTAGTTTGCTGATATTTTTTGTTCCATGAAGAAGTGGAAGAGAAAGGAGGGGCAGAGCTCTTGTTTTTGTTCAAAAAAAAAGAAAAAGAAGGGGCAAAGCCACTGTTTTTGTTTCAAAACAAAAAATGAAGAAGGGGCTGAGCCCCTATTCAAAACAGAAAATGAAGAAGGGATGGAGCCCCTGTTTTTATTCCAATACAAAAAAATGAAGAAGGGGCGGAGCGGTGGAGCCCCTGTTTTTGTTCCAAAACAAAAAATGAAGCTGCTCCTTTTTTGCTCGAGAAAAAGCATACCTTCTTCTATGATTGATTTCCCTTTCTTGTTCAAAGATGTACAACTTGGAATCCTCGAACTCGATTTCGAATATCATACCTCTTGAATTCATCATCAAATATTATTTATTAGAAACCTTGACAAGATAAAAAATTAATATAAAAAGCTTATTATCTTATGAAATAAATAAAGTAATGATTCAGTGCATCATGTTCATGTTTATATTATAGACTTAGAATATAAAAATATTAAATATACAAAACTTACAATAGGTATATATATCATATGGCGCCTGGGTGAGGTGAGACCCAAAATGCCCCTACACGCCTAGGTGTCGCATTGACAACTATGCGTGTGCATTTCGAAAATGCTGCGCCTAGGACCTAGGCGAGGCACATACCCTAAAATGTGCTTAGCCTGTGTGCCTAGGGAGGGGGTGGAGTGAATACATGCCTAACATTTTACATTTTCTTTTTTATGTAAGTGGCTTTTCCCACTCCCCCATGTACTCATGCTTGTCAGCCAAGGATTTTACCATTTCACCAAGCAATGACCTCTAATCTTAGGCCTTGAGGCTTAAATATGAAACATTTTTGCAAAAGTTGTTTCTGATATTACTATTGGATTTCATTTTGATTGTCAAAATTATGAAAACCATTCAAGCTAAATGTTACAATGGCAATATCAAATAGCCATTCAATAATGTGATCCTTATTAATGCTGTCTTGCTGATTGAATAAAAAAGGAAAAATGTTCCGTTGTTCATTCTTTCAGTTGCTTCCGCTACTCGAATACTTTCCATAATCATTTTGACTTTTTATTTTTTGCTATTTGCAGATTGGATTTAAGCAAGGTTTGGAAATGCTGACTATTTTTAAGAGCCATACAGCAAAAACATCAATGCTAGATGATTTTAACTTTTATGATCACCGCGAGACAACTCTTCAGACTAAAAAAAGTAATAAGCTTGGAACTTCTCTACAGATGGAAATATTTGGGAACAGTGATCTGCCGGTAATTAAACGATCTTTCTTCATAGTTAAATTTTATTATACATCTTCTAGTGATTAGTCATTTGAAGTCTTTCTTACATCTGAAGTCATAATGATTTCAAGTTTTTATATGAATGTAAAGATTTTCAAATTATTAAATAGGAATTTACAAAAGATGTCTCTCAGTTTTGTTGTTGATATACATAATTGGTTTTTTCGATCAATAACCAACCATTTTATTAATTATAAAGTATTAATGTACATATATGCATTCACCTTATGGAGTAAAAACTTTCATCTCCCAACTCTCTTTTCTTACAATTATGCCCATAAAATTTCATCTCTTCCCTCCCTTTGTTTTGCTAAAGTACCAATGGTAATAGTTGTTTTTCCCTTAGCTGTTTTATGTTAAATGCCATTTTGTAATATTGGTTCCAACTACTTGTTTATTTCTTTATTTTTTGTTGATTCCGGCTATTTGGGGTCTTGTGAGTGGTGCATTGGACATATGTGTAGGGGAAGGAAAAAATTTCATGAACTAGCCAATGGAAAAAGGAAAAACCTAGTATCCAAATTGGAAGTGAATGGGCTAATCTTTGGTTCCCAAGAGGGGATAGTCAATTGTTTTATTGACCACTTCAATCCATTTCGAGGAGGCCACTAGGAACTAGAGTGGAATTGGAAGGTGTGACTTGGTAGAGGCTTCCAGAAGAGAGTAAAGGCTGGTTGGAGAGGAATTTTGAGGAGGAAATTAGACAAGCTATTTTCTCTATGAACAGATCTAAAGCACTAAGGCTGGATGGGTTTACTATGGCCCTCTTGATTCCCAAGAAGAAAGAGGCTAAGCATCCAAAGGATTTTAGTCTTATTAGTTTGGTGACTAGTATGTACAAGATTGTGACTAAGGTCTTATCTCTAGGGATTAAAAAGGTGCTCTCATGCCTTATCAGCCAAGCCCAAGGTGCTTTTGTTTAGGGGAGACAAATAGTTGATCAGATTCTAATAGAAAATGAATGTGTGGAGGAGATTAGGTAACCAAGGTTTATTTGTAAACTGGATCTTGAAAAGGCTTATGATCTAGAGGATTGGGGCTTTTTGTTACTTGTGCTTAGGGAGTGTGGGTTTGGGGGATAGATGGTGCAAATGGATAAATGGTTGCCTAACTTCCTGCCATTATTCCATCTTAGTCAATGGGGTAACTAATGATTTTTTCCTAGATAGTAGGGGCTTGAGACAAGGATATCCCTTGTCACTTTTCTTATTCACTCTAGCAGCCGATGCTTTTAGTAGACTCCTATCAGAAGTGGATACGGCTGGGTCATTAAGAGGGTGGAGAATAGGCTGAGACAGTGTTCTAATTACCCATCTTCAATTTGCAGATGATTTAATAATCTTTTGCAGATGACGGAGGTGGTGAGTTGAAGCAAAAAAAGAGGTCTAGGGTTAGGGAGTGTAGTGAATAAGCACAAAGCTCTTTTAGTTAAGTGGCTTTGGAGGTTGCCCCTGGAAAGAGAGAGAGGTTATGGCGTAAGTGGTGAAGAGTATCCATGGCTGTTCTAAATTAGGTTGGGACGTTGGGGTATCTCAAAGGGCTTTGCTCACAACACCCTAAAAGGCAATTTTTGGCATTCCCCCAAATTCCTTAGTTTGTAAGGTATGATGCTTTCTTTGGAAACTCAATTCTTTTTTGGGAAGATATTTAGGTGGGCACTCAACCCCTAAAAGATTGTTTCCCTTCCCTCTATTCTATCTCCCTCTTTAAAAAGAAACCTATCTTAAGGTTCCTTCTCCCCCAGTTCTCCCTTTGACTTATTGGGATTTTGGGTTTCGAAGAGGTTTAAGGGATGATCAATTTGCTTGTGTTTTAGAGCTCTTGGTGCTTCTAGACTCTGTGTGTTCGACCCCCTAGTCCTGATAAAAAGATTTGGTCTCTAACCCTGGTTGGCTCTTTCACTTGTGCATCTTTCTTTAATCCCTCTGTTCCACTCCCTCCTCTCAGGTCTTCCCTGTTAAAGAAGTCTGGTCAAGGCCAATACCTCCTAAAATAGCTGTGTTCTATTGGAAAGTCTTTAATGGTAAGATCGATATTGTGGAAAACTTACACAAGAAGAAACCTTACATGTGTGCTTGTCCCCAAATTGGTGCTTTATGTGCAAAGTGAAGGGTGAGGACGGTAACCATTTGCTGATATCTTGCTCTTTTGCTGCCAATATTTGGAAATGGGTTGTGTCGTTATTTGGGTGCAGTAGGTGGAACTTGCCCTCCAAAGTAAAGTTGCTGTTTACTCTGTTTGCCTTTGGGAGATTGACAAAGAGAGGGAAGATAATGTGGAAGTGTATCAGAGCTTCTAGCTTCTGGACTTTTTGGGAGGAGGAGAAAAATGCTAGAATTTTCCAAGAAAAGGAAAGAAGTCTTGCTGAAGTCAAGGAGTGTATAATGATAAGGACAGCCTCTTGGCTGAAATCTTCAGATTTGTTGGTGGATTACTCCTTTGATGATTTAAGGAGAAATTGGGCAGCAGTGGTATCCACAACCTTTACAAAGAACAGACAGCAAGCAGATAGGAAACCCCCACCGAAAGGATTGGTAAAGTTGAATTTTGACGGAAGTTGTCAAGGCAACCCTGGGCCATTGGGCATAAGAGGGATTCTAAGAGATAGACAAAAACATCCTTTATTTTCATGACCAGTGGGTGTCGGTGATTCTATAATGGCTGGGATACTTGCAGCGGTACAAGGCACACAACTGGCTAGTCAACTTGGTGTGGAAAACTTCATAGTTGAGGGGGACTCCAAGGAAGTATTGGGCTGGATGACAAATCCAGAAACAATTTGTTGGTGTTACAGAGATCTTTCAACGAAAGTTAACTAGTTGACAAGAAACATGACGGTTAGGATTCAGTGGGTTAGACAAGGGGTATCAAGGGGAGACATTTTTTTGGTTACCTTATAATTATAATTCAGGCTTGTATGTGTTTATTTGCATATTGTTCAGTCCTAGTGGGAGGTAACACCTTGTGCCTCCTCTTAGGCTGACTGTATACTCTTTGTTTAATAAAATTGCATTCATTTATAAAAAACAGTGATTAATAAGGAGGTAGAGGTGAGTAAAACATTGGGTTTATTTTTCTTGGGTGGAGGAGAATTTGCTAGAAAAGCCATTAAGGAAGTGGTTTTGACAGTAGAGCATGATTTTGAGAAGAATGCCCATCTTAGCGCTAGAAAGGATTAATGATAATTACGGGGAGTGGAAGAGGATTAAGGCCAATCCTTTTGCAATTAAAAGATTCAAACACCAGAATAACTGTAGATCTGTGATAGTTTCGAAGGTTTTTGATGGATTGAGGGGAGGCCTATTTGGGGTTGGCATTAAGAAAAGTGTAAAGAAGACAAGAAGGGCTTTGAAGAGAAAATAGACTTTACTCTTTCAACATAGGAAGGTCTGAATGAGTCTTAATACTTGCTTCGGGATTGGGTCTTTGTCGGGGTGGTATTTTAGGCATGACTCTGGTTGTTGGGAGGAAAGGATAAGTTGGGGGCCTTGGTTGCGTATCTTTTGGGTTCTTGGTTTTGGCTTTTGGATGTTGGTTGTGTGTTTGAATTACGGTGATTATTTTGATTTATAGGTTTGGGTGATGTCTTATCACCCTTTGTATTCATTTCAATAAAGTACCAGTAATCAAACAACATTCTCCCTCAAGTTGAGTTATATATGTCTATCATGCCCAACTTGTCACATAGTTCATTGTGCTGCAAGTATGGAAGTCCTTTTGTGAGAACATCGGCTAGCAATTCCTTGGAGTTGGACATAAGGAGTATATAGTGAAGTACTTGCTCCTATTATGAAGGACAGGGTTAGTTGTAAATTTTTTGGCTGCCTTATTATCACAATAGAGGGACATGGGACTGTTAACATTGAACCCAAGCTCCCCTAGGAGATTCTTCAACCAAAGTACTTGAGTCACCCCATATGCCATGGCCCTAAACTCAACTTTGGCACTAGACCTTACTACTACACTCTGTTATTTACTTCTCCATGTCACGAAGTTTCCACCCACAAATGCACAGTAACCACTTGTGGATTTTCTATAAGCCACAACACCTGCTCAATCGACATCTGTATAGGTTTCCCCCTTCAGATGGTTATGTTTGTTGAATAGCAAACCAGTCCTTAGATACTTCTTTAAATACCTGAGAATCCTCTCTGTAGCCTCCATGTGTTGTACCTTAGGGTGTGTCGTAGGAAGGTATAACAATCTTCCCACTAATCTTTGAAACTATTTTACATCTTTCAAAGGTTCCCTGTCACAAGCACCTAGTCTATAATTAACATCAGTAGGGGTGTCAGCTGGCTGGCTTTGCACCTAGTTTGTCTGTGTCTTGTAGGAGAACTTGCAATTATTCAAATATTGAGAGCATTTGGAGGTGTAGTTTGACACAAAAGGATGAAACTCTGGAAATGTGAAGCTTTTGGTTTTTAACATAGGTTCAAAGAAAACATGTTTGAATTGATTTGAAATCCTTTTGGGGTTTTGAATGAACTCCTTTGAGGAAGAACTTGTGGACTTGCAGTTACTCAACTTTTGATTTCTGTGATAGCCACTAACAAAATTTTTGAGATGGAGTGAGAAATTGCAGTTACTCAACTTGGATGGTTAATGACCTTTTGTTTTATAATTGTTCAGAATAAATTCCATTTCTAAGCCAAGGTAGAGAGACTTGTAATCAATCTAGGGACGTTGGTTGGTTGGTTTAAGTGTTAAGCTCGCTTTGACCCAACCCAACTTGTGCCAAACTCAACCTGTTGACAATGGTTGCTTCTCAAACTTGTAAATAGTCTTCACTAATAACAGTGGTACTTATCATAGTATGAGGTGGATCATGTTTGGTAATTCCATTCTAATTAGTAATTAGTTGGGCAGGTTTGGGTTTGAATTGGGGACTTGATAACTCCCAAATGACTGAAATTTTAAACTCAACTTAGGACTAAAAAAATCGAATGGCAATGCCAAACCCACAGATAAACCTGTAAAATTACTAAATATCTCTAGTCCCCTGTAAATACATACAAATTTCAAAACCCCATATTTGCGCTTTTTAATTCCTGCATCATACTCCCATCCACTATAAATAAGCATGGATTTGAGGGTTTTCCTTTTATTTTTTTACCAAGGCGGAATTGATGTTTGAAACATTAAACCACTGTACATACTCTTTTTGATGGATCAATGTGCATACATACTCTTGTCCTTTCTTGGATCTGGGGAAACTTCTAATTTATATGTTGCATTGCTGCTATTTACCAAGGACTTTCTGTGACCCCTTTACAAACACCATGTTTGCTGATCATGGCATGTTTTTGGGACTAGACCCTTTTACAAGCACCCTACATTATTGGGCCTCCTTGTTTGTCATTATCAGTTTTCAGGGTCACCAATACTCTAAATACTAAGACTTCGGTGATTCATATGTTTTAAATGTTAAAAGATGATCCTGACATATACATTGACAAATTACCAAACCCAAAACTTGATACACAATTTTTATGTATGGAGAGTGTCAGTGTCCATGCTTTGAACCATGATTTTGATCTATTAACAGTCATTTCATTTATTGTAAGAAACTTTTATTAGTTATTGATTTTTAATGTAGCTGCTATTCTACACTGGTAACATAACAATCTTGATTATGCAATTCGGCTTTCATCTTTCAGCAGAACCATTTGGAAGCAGTAGATACTAAAGTCGAACAAGCATCAAAGAAAGTACAGAAAGCCTCTGATCCTAAGACAACACTTGTTACACTTGCCAAAAATCTCTCTCTCAATTCTCAATCACCTAAAAAGAATTCTGTTTAGGCTTCAACCAGAGAATGAAGTTTTTACCCCTGCCAGCCTGAGGTTGAAACTACCAATGGTATCTGGGTTCTAGACTTTTGAAATGGATTTTGCCGTCAGAACTGTTGCATGGTCAAATGGTTTGGGTGGAAACTGCTCCCTCGCTGCTGTACAAATACAATATCAAGTTCAGTTTTTCCTTCGTTTGTGTTCTTTTTTAATTTTTGTGTTTTTTATTTTTCATTTTTGTTTTGTTTTACCAAGCTGAGTAGAGCTATTTGTTGATCAGGTAATGTACAAGATTCAAAGTTAGGATGCAATTTGTCAAGTGCAATGTTATTTCACCTTTTTCTTGGAATTATCTTGACTGTTTCATACTTTTCAATACTGTATGATCGTTCATCAGGTTTGAAGTCTGTTTCAACGTTTATGATACGTATCCCTGCCATTAATGGAGGTTCAAAGTCCTGCTGATGTGTCAGGACCAAGGTTAAAAGTCCTATAGGCGTATCGGACTGTATCAATACTTTTTTTTTAGGTTTTATTTATTTATTTTTCAAAACTGGTTCAGAGGGGTCGGTTTAAGGCCCAACTACCCTCTGAACCAATGTCCGACCTGATACAACCCCTGGAGGGGTGTCGGGAAGCTATAAGCACGATACATGTCGGTCAATACAGACTGATACGTATTGATACTTTGAATCTTGGCCAGGACCCAATCCCAAGGGCTATAGTTATCAAGGATCATACTAGCCATTACTAGGGCTGTCAATGGATTGAATTTGGGTTGGACCCTATCAGAACTGTAACCAATTGAACCGGTCTTGATGGTCCAAATTGTTCTTGAACCGGTTTGGATGGTCTGAATTGTTGCAATGGATTGGATTGGACTGGTCCGAAATTTCATCGTCCAGTACTTTAGTGTTCCAAATAGAATGGACGCAAAGGTCCGTTCAATAATTTCTCTCTTTCTCTCTCACGTGGATTTATTTCATCTTTCATTGTGGGATTGAAGGCAACTGTTGCAAAAGCTTGAAAACTCATCAATGGTAGATAGCCTATTTTTTTTCCTGTTCTTAATCTCTACGAGCCCTGCACATTGCCAATTATATTGATAGTTCTTAGCCTCTTTCTCTGTTCGTTTTTGGGTTCACCGAACATGGGTTTTTCTTCAGATTTCTTCCCCTAGTTTTATAAAAGAATGTATCATTTTTGGTTTATTTGGAGCTTTGACATTTGCCAAGTATACTCATGCTTCTGGGTTGTTTAATTTTTTGTACTTAGTCAAGTTCTCTTAACCATGAGGCATAAGTTTCTTATGATGCTCACTTTCTCTATTTCTGTGCCTTGACACGCTCCTCCTCTCTCCCTGCTTCCCTTGATGCTCACTTTCTCTATTGCAAGAACGATTAGCAAAAGAGGGCCGGCATACTAGCAACTTTCTAAAAAATAATGTTTGTAGTAATTTGGGTGGTTTAGATGTAGGTAGAGTGTCCCCAAAGAATTATTTGATGTGCCTAATTTGGCTAAATCAAATGCGGATTGTCTGAATAATTACTTGAATTTCCAATACTCTGGAGAGATTGGTATTGGTAATGCTGCTTCTGCAATAATTGGATTTTTGTTCCGCTGAACTGTAAATTATTTCATTGTTTCTAACTTTGAAGTTTCCCTTGTATTATGAAGTATCAGGAACTTGTACTATGTATATGAAGTTTGATTTTAAGTGGGCAACACTTGAAGTTGGTTCGTTGAATCTAAATCAGTTCTACAATTAGGAGAAACTAGCAATAAACCCATGCAATGCATGGGAATAGAAAGAAATTGACACTGAAAATAAAAATAAATGATTTTTGAGGGTGAAAACAATGTCACTCTTAAGTTCTAATACAAAAATATTAAAAATATTAAAAATTTAAAAATATAAATCAAGATTAAACCCAAATGTTAATTTATCCTTCTTTTTTAATCCAAAAATAAAAAAAATAAAATTAAAAGCAAAACTAAATAAAATAACTTGTCTTTTCTAAAATTTTCAAAAAAAAAGTATTTTTTTTTCTGAAAAAGCTAAAAATAAATAAAATTTTCCAATCCAAAAATATTAAAAATTAAAAGTAAAATTAGAATAAAAATTATAGCATTTCTTGTTCTAAATAAAAACAAAATAAAAAAATTAAGGTAGAAATAAAACGATGATTACTTTTCCAAATAAAAATAAATTTAAAAAATAAAATAATAAAAAGAGTGATTGTTACAGAGGCTTCTACTCTTAAGGATTTTTTTTTTTTTAACTTTTTGCTTTATCTACTCCAAAAAACATTAGCTTTACATACCAATAATTATTAGAGCTTTTCTGAGATAGTTATCATTATAGAGGCATCTCTAGGTTTGTTTGTCCTAGGAATGTAGGAAGGGGAGCACTTGGTATGGCCTCCCAACAATGTTGCAGCATGGTTTATCGGTCATGCTTTCCATGAATCCCCCATCTAGGCAGATAATTGATTATAAATTAATTAGCAGAATTATTACCATTTCATTGAAGTCAAGGAATCAGATAATTTTTATGGCACCATTATCAAAGTACCTTATTTTCATTTTCAAAAATATCATTACTTCTTTTATACCAATTCTATCACTTTTTTATTTTTTATTTCAATAAAAAATGTCAGTCTTTTGATTTTTGAGACACCTGTTTTAAAGTTCTAATTTTGACATGGGTTGCTTTGCAAAATGTCTAAAGCTTAGAAGCCCAAATTTTCGGGAATAATAATGTAATTTGATTTCTTCAAGTTTGCTGTACCAGTAATCTCGAACCCACCTCAGCTTTTAGATCAAATTGAAGATGGAGATGCATATCTCACTGCAGTATTTGTCCTTGCGTGCAAACTCAATGGTGGACCCGTGGTTGTATGGAAAATGGGAAATTTGAAGATTATCACAGGCACCATTTTTGGAGGCATCCTTGCTTTATCATATGCACCGTGTCAAAATCAGCATTTCGATCCAACCTTTCCTAACCCATTTAAGACTAGAAATGATTCAAGAAAATCAAGCATAAATGCAAGTCAAAATCTTGTTTATTATTGAATTTTTTTTTTTTTTTTTTTTTTTTTTTTTTTTATATCTTTCGAAGGGTTATACAAGGGGAGTAGTCCATCCCCCAACCCATAACAACCCCCAATCCAGGTGGAGTCGGGATTTAATTCTATGTCTTTGATACAACCAGTACGAGATCTTACCAACCAGCTATTGGCACTTTACTGGCTTGTTAGATAGTGTATGCTCTGATCTCTAATTGGATTGATGTATAAATATATTTAATATTAAGGTTTAAAGTATCGATACGTATCGGTTGATACGTATTATTTCGGGACCCCTCCGATATGCCCCTACAGTGGGTGCATTGGGGGTCTGACTGGTTCAGGGGGTGGAGGAGCCCTAAACCGGCCCCCTTAAACCGGTTACAAAAAAAAAATAAAAAGGCACAAAATGCAGTATCGATTCGCCCGATATGCCCCTATCGGGCATATCAATATTTTGAACCTTGTTTAATATAAATGAATAAAAACGTACATTATTATTTATGTTGATATTGGTATGTTTATGTGTAATTACCCCTTAAATTAGACACTTATGAGACTCGTGTTAGTTTAAAATGTTTTCAGTCGTTGGATAGACTTGGGGAGTTTATCCTGCCTAGGCTGACACTGATGTGTTGTCAAAGAAGTTGGGGCAGTTTGTCTCAACTGCTAGGGTTAGACCTAAAGCACATGTAGTGTGTGTTTGGATGAAACACTGAACCTAGACCATTTTTCAGTTATGCCCTAGACCTTGGAGATTAATGGACAAATATGAAAAGTTACACATAACCCCTAGACTTGATTATGGTATTGCACTAGGAATTGGATTGGACTGTCTTTGATATGCTAATCAGTGAGATCCATCAAGGCTCAAAACCTGGGTATGTTGGGGTAGTCTGAGAATTTATCTGAGTGGGTGAACATAGTGATAAGATCGGTCCCTTTGTCGGACAAAGTGAATGATAGGGCTTACACTCTTTCTGATGAAAACCTAAATTGCCGATAGTGGATTTCAATTGTATTTGAGATTTGGTTTTGTAAAATATATTTATATGATATATATTAATGTTTTATGAAAAATGTTTGCAAAAATGTTTTAATTCTCAAGATCCATCCGAGTAGAGAGTGTGACACTGTACCTTGTAGCTATGGGAGAGGTTTTTTCCTATCGGACAGTTTTGTGATCATTATGAGTCGAGAGGTTAAGTGTAAGAAACCATTACAGGGTTGATTACCTGATGAAATTCATCTTACTTAAATCCATTATCCTTGGGTCTTTATAGGATGATTGAATTCAAAGATCATTTAGGTGTAAATGTTGAGCCCATATTGAGCCCATAGTGATTTGCTCAATGATTCACTACATTTAGCAGTTAATTCGGCCATGCCTTTTTACAGAGGTTGGGCCGAACCCATGTAGACTTATGTGAGGTCATTGTGAAGTCCTATGCCATACAAATCAGGCCTAAGTTGGCCATGCAACATCTTGGGTCATCAATCTTTGAAGTAAATGAGTCTAAGGCCCATAATTAATAAGATTAAGTAATCTGCCATATGACAACTTAAATGTGCTATGGGTCAAATTTGGGTTTGGAAATAGGTATGGAGAATCCATCCTCTTAAGAGGATAAGTCTTATCTCTTAATAGAGTCTGGATCCAAATTAAATTTGGATAAACTCCTAATTTAATTAGGATAGTGCTTCATAAGGAAATAAAAGAAGATGGCGAACCAGACTTGAACACCACTCTCTCTTGTCCTATCTTATTCTCTTTTGTCTTCCAAGAAACCCTATCACGACCTAAGCTTTCAAGGACTGATAGAGATCAAATTTTTTCTGATTTTCCAAAAAAAAAAAAAAAAACAAAGCAATTTCAGGCTCACCTTTTCCAGTTCGATTCAATTAGTTGGGTTGTAGTTTTGTTGAAAATGTGTTGCTGAATCAGCTTCACCTATACACTGTGCCATGTTCAATGGGGGCTGATTTTAGGATTGATTTGGACGTGAACTTCCACCTTGGGATATGTATTTGTAGTATCTGTATTACGTATAAATCTTCCTCTTTGTTTAGTTCCAAATGTGGTTTGATTCTATGCAAAACCGATCCAAAAAAAGGCAATACATGGGGCATGGATTATACGTTATACGAACTCTAAACCTGGTAAGAAAAATCCCCTACCACTGTTTATCTAATGAATGATAAGTTATTAAACTGGTAGTGCACAAATTGTTTAGCTAATGACCTGTACTTGCACATCTTTTTCTCCAATCCCATGCAAGTC